AGGGCCTTGAAATACAAAAATATCCATGTACATTGCAGCCGGTTTTCGTTATACTTTTTTTAAACTTTAACACCTTGTTGGGCCCCAAAAGTTTTCCTTTAGACCAAACCTACTCCCCAGAATCCAGCAGCTGAAAGATCCAAGGGTTCTCCTTTCCAAAGGTCAATGATTTCACACTCAGGCTGCACACAGCTTTCATTTCTGGACAGCTCCGAAAGTGGATTCTGTGAATCGTTCTCTTTATTCCCAGCCGGGTGTTGACCCCCAAGCTAAGCCAGGGTGTTTTCATGTCAGGTCTCTGCTACAGAGCCTCCTGGCACAGTTGTGTCAGCCAGAGCTGTGATGACATAAGATCCTTTGAAGGGAGAGCTGTGCCAGCAAAAGCACCTTTTGCAGTTGGAGGTATAGGCAGAGAAAATGATGGTTTTGTCCAGGTAGCTTATTTTGCTTCAGGAAGCTGGCATTCACTCTCTCAGCAAAAGCATAGTTTTACTGTTAGAAGCTGCATATACCTTGGAAATGGTTGCTCTTCTGACCATCTATTGTAGCTATGCTGTCAAAGGTGTTCTGGCTTTCAGCTACCTCAAGTATCCCAACTGTTAAATGTTCAATAGAGCTAATTGTTTTAGCCAAAACCTTGAGCTTTGGTACGATGCTATGTTCAGTCCTGGAACAAAGCACTGCACAAACAATTCCTAGCTGTCAAATCAATAATGTAACTTTCCTCCTTATGTTTGAATTCCCCTCCAATCTCTTCCTAAAAAGGAGAGGAGGAGAGGAGAAATTCAGTGCCTGAAAGATCGCCTGAAGTACAAAATGCTGAAGTACAAAATGCCCCCAAAATCATACCCTTAGAATGATCCAACTTCTGACCTCGGCTGTCCCTGAGTATTCCCACATACAATCTTTTGAAAACACTGTAGGAAAAGCCCCACAGACTGAACCTACTGCTGAACTGACAGAAGGGATGCTGCGTTGGCTGTGCTGTGATGGCTGGACAGACCTGCTTAGAACTGAAGTTCTCCAAATGAGCAGTTTCATAGAATCACAGGATGGTTTGGGTTGGAAGGGACCTTAAAACCATCCAGTTCCAAACCCCTGGCACAGGCAGGGATACCTTCCACTAGACCAGGTTGCTCAAAGCTCCATCCATCCTGGCCTTGAACGCTGCCAGGGATGGAGCATCCACAGCTTCTCTTGGCAGCCACTTGCCTCACCACTCTCACAGCGAAGAAAGTTTCTCTCTAGAAAGAAATAATGAAGAAATTTCTCTCTAGAGCTTCTAGTTTACACCCTCCAGAAAAATGAAGACTGTTTAAGAAAAGACCGATGTGTTCGTGTGCATGGGATTGTTTTAGGTGCCCCTAATCCTCTGAGGTGGGATTACCTACAGGCCTGAGAGCCTGCAGCTGCTGTATGGGGTGACATTGCAGCAGGAGGAGGCAAAGTACTTCACCTTTCTATTTGCGAATCTGTGATATAGGGGTTAGTAGCGAAATCCATCTGTGAAGAGCCTTCCAGAAGGCTGGATTAAACGGAGTCTCCCAGAAAATGCTGGAGAGAAGATGCTATTTCACACATGTGTTGTCTATACTGTCTTTGGTAAGGTGCTTGATGTGGCCATCACCAGCCTATTAAGATGACCAGTTTTGTGTATTTTATCTGGAACCTTGTGCAATTGGCCCCAGAAAACCAAGAAAAAGCAAACTCAAGTTCTTTCTCAAATGGGCAAGAAAGTTTCCCATAAAACTTCACACACCCATGATGGTGAAAAAGTCATTAGCTGCAGGAACTTTTCCAGCCTGAACACTGAGATGAACCTCAGAGATGTGTCAGTGTGTATCTGGAAATCACAAGAAGTAGTATTACTAAGGAGAAGATGCTGCACATTTTATGTAAAATGTGAGCGAGAGAAAACATCCTGGCATGAGCAGGAATCACAACAGGCTCAGCTGGAGGAATCTGTACGTATTCGATGGCAGTAGCATAGCTGTTGAAAAGATTGGATGTTTCAGTTGGGCTTTGTCTTCCCATTATTTTGAATGATTGCTGTCATTAAAAGCAGGAAAGCAGAGATTACAGTTCAAAAGTTTTAAGTTTTTAAATTTCTGCATAAATACTATGAAACAGTATTTTTCTCTGCCTGGAGGTCTCCCACTCACTAGTTTAGCTGTAAGTGTATGTATACCTCAACTGGGCTGAAATACTCGTAAGGTTCATGCACATGCAGTTTTCACAGCACTCTCTTGATTTCTGTATCATTGGTTAATTCTTACACTTGCACTCATGAGCTCCTTTCTGGAATAGTCAATAAAGATGACTGCTTGATCAAGAGCTAGAGAGAAGCCCTTTGGGTAATTAAAGTGTTTACCTTCAGACACAGGAAAAAATGTTCAACAACTTAGTGGTGTAAGAGCAGTCAGTAACTCTCGTACAGGTAGTGGCACTAACTTTGACTGGTAGACTTGCTATGGAATGTACCACATAAGCACATCTCCACTGAAATACACACACACGGCTTGCAGCCAGCAAGGCTAATACCCATGTCTGTGAAGTACTGTACAATGTTATCAGAGGACAGCAGGCATGGTGGATGCAGCAGGACATAACAACCCTGCCAGAAACACAGTTTGTAGCATCTGCCTAATCTGAAGGAGACCTTTCTCCTAGATACAGCCAGATTCATTCCTTCTACAACTCACACTGTTAATCACAGCTGACCTCACCACTACCCTTCATCTATGCCTGGCCAGTGATGACAAGTGTCATACCTAAGCGTCTAGAATCTGTGCCCCAGCCACTAGGGTAACTCTCACTTTTTATTTCCCACTAATTCTGAACTCATATTGCTCTGGTTTGCCTAGCAGTGCATGCATACAGACATGGCATAATCACCTTTTTGTAGCTTTCATAATGACTTTCACATTCCCATTCCCTGGCAAAATGTGTGGGTTTTTTTTTTTCCTTAATATTTTTCCTCAGTTTCTCAGATATCTCTTGGTTTTGGCATCAGCTTCTAGATTGCACTGTAATGATAAACTGCCAGTGCTACTGAGTGCAGCCTTTCTACAGTTCTAAAACCAGGCTTACAGGCACGCCCAAAGGCCTTCTAGCAGAGCTCTCCAGCATGTAAAGCCCCAGTGCTGTAATAAAGTGCCTTTGTTAAGAGAATCTCAAATATTGCATCCTACCACAAGGATATTACCCTCTCCACAGTGCCAGTGAAGAAAACAAGGGGTGAAGAGGGATGTAGCTCAGTTCATGGTATAACACTGTACAGAATCTCCTGAACAAACCTCTGAGCGAGGTAGTACATCTGCATGACATGGAGTAGCTGAATAGCTGCATTCCCACTGTCCAGTCTTGCTGCTGCACAGCCCTCAAAAGCAGCCATGGTACAGTGCCAGCCCCACTTCCAGAACAGCAGATATCTCTGACTGGCACACTGTACACATAACTGTAGTGACTTACTCCAGATCACACAATGAGTCAGTGTCAAAGCTAGCTCAGTCAGCTGGCCTTCAGGCTCAGGCTTTAAGTGGTCCTCAGGAGAGGAAAACGATGTGGGTTCAGACATTCCTTAAATGCTGGGACCGGGAGGGCTGTGGGGGAAGGTGACAGCATCCTGCCTAGACTAGAGCAGGAGCTGGTTTTGCCTCCCATTTCCAAGAGCCCAAAATATGTGCACCTTGTTTGTTCCGGGACTGCCTGCTCTGGAAACGCCTCTTGCTGGTGACTCACTGAGGTGGGAAACAAGGCCAGGCTCCCGGGCTGAGTCACCCCAGGCACACACAGGGTAGGAGGGGCTGCTTTCAGGTGACAAGCACCACCCATGTTTATCACTCGAAATTACTAAAATCTTCTGCTCTAAACCAGAAGGAGATAAGCAAAATCTTAGGGGCTGAGGAGGACAGTCACCAAGCTGTCTTACTGTACCAGTCAGTGCGGTAGTTGCCACGCTCCAAGTCAAGTGGCAGACAACCATAAAACACGGATTATTTTATTCTGAAAGCAAGAAGAGAGAAACATGGAAAACAGCTTAAAGAAGCACAAGGAGATTGCGATCATCAGTTTTATGCTATCAAGCCTGGTCTCCCTCTCTCTCTTTAGAGAGAGATTTTATACCTTAGGAGTGAGGAGAATAAAGCCTTCATTCATGGAAGATAGGTATTTTTTTAGGTTAGAAAAAAATCACAATGATCTTTATTCTTCACATCACTTGTGAGCCCTGTCTTCTTGTGTTAAAGATAAGAAAAGACAAGGGTATTTTGTTTAAGGGAGCAGTAAGTCAAGTCTGAGTTAGTATGGCTGATATGAACAGTTTATAAATGGAACTTCACTAAGCCTATAGAATTAAAAACATTTGCATTATTTACCTATTTACCAAATAATTTCAGCACCATTCCTTAGACAAACAATGGAGAAAAAATTAAAATCACATTTCTGCATTCTTGTCAGAAAGTGTGCAGGAAGAACTGAATTTCAGTTGTCTGCTGGTTAACAGGAGAAATAGTTGCCTCTTCCCATTACAAAAGTTTCTGAATATATTACTGAAGTTATTACACAATTTAAAACTAGATATCAAAATGCTTTTTCAGATTGCATTTATTCAACAATGTCTCTATTAAAGCTGGTTAAATGTTTTAACTTCCACCCCCAAGTCTTGATTTTGACATTTTGAGAGAAACAGCAGTGTGTTTGGGATGAAGAGATTAATATTGAGGATTTTCATGAAATTAAATATCCCACAATAAGCAAACTAATATGAAAATCAGAATATAGATATTATGTAGGAATGCACTAGTATTTGTTCACCATTTAGCCTGTCAAAACAGTGCTGACCAAGCGAGGAGAAGGCTGGGATGGATGTACAGTGGCAAAACCAAATAGCACACAGTACTGCCAGGCTGTGGGGTCACTGTCTTGTTGAGCTGTACCTTCTGGTTCATTTTAGGTATCCTGCTGCCACGGCAGCTCCTTCACAGGGACAAGACAGACAGGCTGGATGCAACACAGGTCGCAGAAGTGAGTGGGCTTGTGAATGATGAAAGGTTAAACATGCAAAAGAAAAAGCAAGGCATAGAAAGCACACAAGCCTAACAAAACAATGTAAGGGGGGATGAGTGAATGTGCATCTCAGATGAGATTAATTATACTCTTGAGTCTAATCTTGCTGAAGATGGAAGGCACACCTCCCCTGGCAGCTTGGCTTCAGGAAAATACCTTCAGCTGTCATACCTCGTTGGCTAAATGCCATTGTGCAAAACGGTTTTACTAGCCCTATCAGCTCATTAACGAACAATTTGCTAATGCAGAGGCATGAAGGCTGCGATCCTGCATCAGCAGTCCTGTTGTGGCAGTTTTGTCTTTGTGCCAAAAACTTCTGAGAACATCGTTAAAGAGACAGATCTCCTTTAATTCGAGTAACAGTGTGCCATGCACTGCAGGTTTCATCAAGACCTCCAAGAGCTGAAGATCTGTTTCAGTGAGAGCAGCTATCTCCATCTTCTATAAAAATGTTTTTGCTTCCTAAAATAAACATTTTGTCTTTAAAAGGTTCTTAAAGACAGTTTCAAATGTAAGTGATCAAAGTTATGTCATTTCTTCTTAACATCTGTGGATATTTCTTCTAATCCTGGGTTCTGCAAAGAACTATTTCAGCATTTCCAAATAACTGACTCTCCAGTTCCCGTTACTCAGATGGCTTCTTGTATAACTACAACAGAACTCCTATATTTGCACATAAACCACCTTAAAATTCAAACAAAAATGTCAGGAACTTCAGACGCGAGGCCTTTAATTCATATACAAAATAAGTGCAAGGAACATTCAAAAGAAGTTTTCAATCCTTCTTAGGCATCCAAGGAATGATATTTTCATATTTAAGATAAATCAGGAGTCAGGATTGACCACTATCTTTCAGCAAGTGTTTTGCAAACATCAGTCTCCCCCTTAATCTTGGGAAATCAGGACTTCAGACTGCATGATATTTTAAAATCTTGTTTTCTTTGAAAGTGTATGCATACACTTGCATATAAGTAAACACTTAAGCTGGATTCATTAATAATTCGATAGCGGATTTAAGATATAAACCTATTTAAAATAAAGCTTTAAATTCTTACACTGTGTCTTAAAACACAAGTTTCATATACTTTATGAAAATGAATGAAACAATTTTAAGGTGTAAACCGTAAACGTTTGCTGTTAAAGCTTTAAGGAACATAAAATCACTGAACTAATGGAATTACCATCTGAACATCTGGAACAAGAATTGGCTGAACTGAACCAGCTTTTGATAAAAGTGATTTTTCTGCATGTGCAGAAAGAATATTGGAGCTGAGCAAGTTGAATAATGTGAAACAGAAATAGCAATAAGTTCAAAGCCGAGAAACTAACTGGGAAGTACACATAAAAAAGCATGTGTTCCTCACCAAGCTGTGAATATAAGTGAGGAACAAAAGCTTCGTGCTTACCTTTGGAGGGACACTGTTCAGCAGCAAGCGGTTTGACTCACTAGCTGCAAACTATCCTTCTAAATCCTGTTTTAATGAAAAATATACCATGCCAGGCTTTGCATAGTTCTTTCTGCAGACAGCAGGCTTGTAACGGTCTGTGTGCTTAGCTGAAAACATGGACACCAGGGAGAGAGGGCTTTGGAACAACGCATGTGCACTGAGAACTGAGCCAAGAACTGAAACAGACACTGAACATGTAGGCACCCACCCGGGCTGCTTGGAAGCAGAAGGCTTTCACCCTTGCACATGGTCATTGCAGGGGTAAAACAGCGGCCCCTGCCACGTAAATCCTCCGTTTGCTCATTCCTACATGAGATGGGTACGTAATTTCTTTGCCTCCTTTGGCCCAGGCTTAGCTCGATTTGCTGTGTGCAGCTCTGGGCAGGCTGGCTTCTCTTTGGTTCCTACAGCTCTTGCTTGTTTTTAGTCTCAGGACTCATATGTGAGTTAGTAACAGTGCCTTTGTCTAAGGGAGAATGATATATGTGAAAATAAATATGAGGTACATACGCTCGAAAAAGATGTTTCTGAACAATGTGATGAATTCAGAGCAATGTGAATGTATTTCCTGTGGCAGCAGGTGACCCCTCAGAGAGATAGGGAAGGGGGTGTGTGGCACAGTTAGTCACATCCCCTGGAGCTGGGACAGCAGAGACTAAATTAATGAAGCACACCATCAGCAACACACATGGTGGTTCAAGAGGGCCAGTGGGGCTTGCCATGCCACCTTCTCTGCCTGCTCGGCCTCAAGGAGCTCGCTGAGAGCCATGCCAGGCAAACCTCTACCAAATAAACCAAGCAACCCAAACCTTCCCACTCAAGCAAGCCAGGAAATGAATCTAAGCAGCAGCCTGAAGCTCCAGAGACATTCCCCCACCTCTGGTCCCAGGGGTGTCCGTGAGCCAGGACAGTGGGGACAAGGCTGGGCTCAGGGCCAAGGCTAAGAATGGCTCCAAAATGGCACCATGGGCTGTGGGGCCTGGGGGAATGCACTGGGGTGGATGAGGTGTGCCGGTGCAGCCAGGGCATAGCATGGCCCCTGGTAGGAGGTTTGGCTGTGTGTAGCTGGGGCAGAGGACCCTGCCAGCTCACCTGCAGCTGTCAGGCCCAGGTCCCGCCATGGTGGCCAGCCTCTTTTCCTTGGCATTTCATCGTGAGCTCCTTTTAACAAACTCATTACAAGAAAGTTACAGCAAAACTTTTCACACTGACACCCCTCACCTCACCACGAACACGGGAGATCACAGGGACTGTTTCAGTAACGCAGGACAGAAATGATGCCGCGTGTCCTGTGATAGAGCATGATGGGGAAAAAAAGACTTAAAAATCACAGGCCTTTCATGCCCTCTGTCATCATTCAGCCCACAGGATCCCTGCTGGCTACAGTGATCAGTTTGGGTGTGTTGTGGCATTTTTAAATTCAACTTATTTTACACACAGAAGGACACTGAGGCAAGCTCCACTCCTGCTTCTTGTCAAAATTACGCAGCTGATTGCTCCTGCATTAGCTGGGAGATGCACATCAAAGGAGAACTGGGAGACTGGCATGGGCCCCCAAGCAAAGTGAGTTTCAAGCAGTTTCAAACAATTTGACTCATCCAACCCAAATGTAGCCACAGTATTTGCAAAAACAGGGAACCAGAAGCGAGTTCTCACTCTGCTTAGAACTCATGACCTCTTCCCTGCCCTAGGTCTCAAGACTTACTTAAGCTGGAGCCTGCTCTTGGTGGGGAAGCAGCTATCTCAAGTGTTGCTCAGGCCTGCCAGTAGCTCCTGGAGTTTCACAGGGGGAAATAATCTCTTTAAATAACAATTTGAACTTCCAGCATAAATAAAGCATTATTGTGAAGATGGTTGAATGAGACTCCACAGCCTAATGCTAGGGGGAGGATGAGAATGAGAGGAGGTAGCTTGGAAGGAAATGAACAGGGAGGGCAAGTGTACTGCACTTCCAAAATGGGAGATGTGCTCACATGCACCTCAGATGGACATGCACTGTTTATAGTGACTCTAACACCACGGGAGGAGTTTGCTTGTGTGCCCTGCTGTCCCTCACAGTGCCCAGCAGCTTCTCCAGCATGGGAGTTTAAAGAGGAAACCAAGGTAAGGACAGTGTCATGTTGAACACGAACCAGAAAAGAGATTGCCAAGAGACACAATGGCAATCTCCAGTCATCTTACCCTTGTTTTTTTCCTCCATCTCTTGCTATAATCTGTTGTAGATGCTTCTGTTTGAAACTACGTAAGCAGCTTCTGGAGGCAAGAACCTATAATATAACTGCAGGAGACCGCCGAGCTGTGCCTTCATCTTTATGAGGTATATACCCTGATGGCACAGGAGGAGCAAATGCATCTCTTTGACACCTGAAACTTACATCTGTGCTATGTTCAGCAAGGGTTGATATTTGTTGGTGCCTGCAGCAGATCTGCTAATCTGCTTGAATGCTCCCACTTCATGAAAAAAAAACCTTCCAGCTTTTTAGACAAGCTCTGTAACTTATAGGAGGGAGGAAACGTCAAAACAGCAAGAATGATATTTAAAGCAAAGCACTACCCGCCAGAGCAGGCAGATCTGGAGGGGATGTTTCTGAACCCAAGCTAACACAAACTTTGTTTGGAATAAGGTTCTGCTGCGCGTGCACCAGTGCACTCACGGGGGACTTACCTGGCTCTGTGGCTGTCGGTACCTGTTAGTTAAATCAAAGATTCCCCATGGTGACATATTAGGCCAGATGCTGAGAAAGACAGTGCTACTGCCATGGGTTCTGTATGGATGTGCAAGCTGGGCAGCAGGCATGGTACCCAGGAGGATTCCACCACCTCGAGCCATTGGAGCTCCTTGCACGTTCCTAGCCTCTGCTGTGCACATAAGATGGTGAACCTTCACCATCTGCGTTCTAGTAATCAGGACCATCATCTTGCACTATTTCAGAGAAACCTAAATGCTTTCTCTGGCCTAATATGAGTGCTGTCCCACCTGATGGGAATGTTCTGGGTGACTCAGCAACAGCACGGCTCAGCTCAGTAACTGGCAGCAAATGAGGCACTGAGAGTCATGACTTTAGGAATCTCATTAAAGTAAAGGTGGGATTTTTTTCACAGAATTCCTTATCCTAGCTATATGTCAAAGTAGCTGCCTTGGCTGTAATATCCGATGATGAAGAATGACTTATCAAGGTCAGGCGCACAATAGAGGTTAGCTGCATCTCATAGAGAGAAGTGTGTAGATTCAGGTACTTCTACACACAGCCTTCTCTTAGAGAGTTCGAACTTCTCGAAGTCTTAAGAATTAACATAATTTTACACTCCGCATACTTCAGGGAACATGTGCTAAAATCTCCTAAGGGAACAGTTACAAGTACAGTCCCAGAAATCTCCCAGGTAAATCAGCAATTCCCAAGCAGCATGTTTTGGCCATACAGATTTTAGGAGACGCTAAAGCTTCTACAGTTTGTATTAATACATGGGGATAGCAAATCTACAGCTGCCACTGGCACTGTGCTGCATTGCAGAATTACATCTTCAGTGCATCGTTACTTAGGGTTGAATATCCAGCTATAGAGAAGACAGCTGGGTGGGCTATTGTGAGACAGGAAATACTATAGATAGCAGCACAGCACAGGATTTACTTTTAGCACAAAGCTCATCTTCATATGCCATTTTCTCCAAAACCTTAGAAAGTGAAGTCACAGGAAGAACTCAGACTTACTGTCAATCTGGTGAGATCCAAACATAAACAGTGATTTCTGTAACAAAAGCATAGGGCTAATGTGCACACAAGTTCTTGTTTTCTTCAATCACAGATCAGCTCCATATGCTGGTTTGCCAGTTGACAGCTGTGTCCCAGCTATTGATTAAATTCTAATTAATCAAGCTGAAGAATCGTGTCACTGCTTGCAAGCACAACTTGTCATACACAACTTAAGTTTGCTGTATTATACTTGTGCTGCTTTTCAAGAAGAGCTACCAACAAAATCGGGACTTTAAGGATGCAGCAGTGCTCCTTATCGGGCAAGGACAACAGCAGCAGCAGACAACAGACTTCTCAAGGTCTTTGAAGTCTGGCCATTCCAGTGTTCTCTGATATTCCTTTTCTTGGTTTTAACATACTACTACACTAATTCATTAACAAATTGGAAAGAACTTTCCATCCCATACCTGAGCTACAGCGCAAGCTACAACACTGATTTCCTTATATTGCTATGGCATTAGCTATCTACTCTATACATTGTTCAGAAAAGCAGCCTTAGCTTGACAGTAATTACATTTGGCAATTATTAACTCTCCATATGTGCTGCCTTCTCAGGTAGGAGAATATCACTAACGCCTGTGTCCCTCTGCCTTGTGCACTTTATGGTTGTTCTTATTGTAACAATAAAGCAATTATTCTAAAAAAAAAAATAAAAAGGCCTTTGAAGTGTGGAGTACTTTGAGCCTTGTTTTCACAGGTGGGAAAGAGAGACAATGGTATTCAGTGAAGTCCAAAGGTCACCCAGGTTGCCTGCAGCAAAGCAGTAAATAGCCACAGATATCCCAATCAGGCTAGTTGTTTAAAATGCACAATTGCTGAATGCAGTAGTCTTGTGTATGTGATGTGAGGTAGGTAGAATACAAATAGCAGTGGAAGAAACACACACACACACACACACCCCCCATTTTCCTTCTCTTTTATGTATTTACAAAAATGTCTGCACCAACACACATCTTTGAATACAAAGTGCATCTAAAGAGCCTGCCTTAGCTCCTATTGAGGTTGAGGAAAAGCCCTCAGTAGCCATCTTGAGGGCAAATGAAGCTGTAGGCACTGATGTTAAAGCACTGGAGTCCATCATCTGCCCAGCCACTGCCAAGAGGCAAAGCTACCGCTATTGTGATGGTTCACTTGTGCCCTTTACCCAAATGCATGAGATTTTATGAGTGATACAGTTTTGTATGGCTGATGGTCTCAGCCTTATCATGCCAATGAAAACAGCAAGTAAGTTGTTTTGCTTTGGCTCTAGGATCCTGACTGGTTTTGAAATTAAAACTGAGAAGTCATGGTCTCAAGAGCCTTCCTAGCTTGCTTGTCTCAGCTCAGCATTTTCTTTTTCATGCCTGCTCTCATATGCCCCAGTTGCAGGGATCACCCTCTGCCTGGAGGCTCCAAGAACCATGAATTACAAACATATGTCACTCGCGTATCACCCTTTGATTGCAAACCTACTAAATTAATGGGAATCAGAGCCTGCAAGTAGGGACACCCCAGTATCTGAGGCATAAGCACTTGCATCCTACAAAACAAATACAACCACAACGGGTGCTGTGCCATAACCTGGGTTTGCAATTTTGGCAAAGCAGCCAAGGAAACTGAAGGTGAATTTCATGTATCCTCTTAGGCTGAGGAAGTATCTCTGCGTCCAAGTCGAGGTGTGTCAAGAGATCATCCATATGAAAAAATACACGGATAGGATCTTTTATCACAGCCTTGGGACAAAGGCATTTGATGTCTGTATCCAAGTTTCTACTTCTGTAGAAGGACTAACATGTAGGTTCAGGGGGTAATGACTGAAGTTGCACCACTTCTAAATATACACAAACCTATATACCTTAAAAGTACTTATGCAAAGTATTATTTTTAGTCTATATTGTACCAGTCCTTGGAGTAGAGAAGCTTCATTGGTGACATTATTAATCCTTGTTATTTTAGCATTAGGAAAAGATGAAGAAAAAAAGACCTCACCTTCCAAAACTACAGCTTAAAGACCCACAACATTAGGATTTGGTGAGCTTCAAACAGCAGTAACACCCATGATACCCTAGCAGGGCTTCAGATATGACGGTCTAATTCCTCTTCTCAACATTAAACTCATTTCAGTGATGTAATTCTGCCATGGTACTGACAAATAACCCCAAATGAAAACCCCGATAATGAGATTTTGTAGATTAAGTTAGTCTCACTCCAGGATTCTCATTATGAAGAGTAGGTAAAAACCTATTT